GGGGTTTGTTAGTAAGTTTTTTTTACGGCGCTCGCAACTGCATAAGGTCATACGAGCACCAAGGAGTGGATGTCAACAGAGAAGTCCAAAACGGGAATCAGACTTACTCTGTTCACCTCTCTAGCTTCAACAGAACAAAGTCTGCTTCAACTATCAAGGAATCCAGGAAATAGCAGTTCACAAGAGAGTGACAAACATACAAAAGAAGTAGAGGAAAATGGCGATAGTAATGATGATGAAAGAAAAAAAACAGCAGTTCCCCCTATGTTGTTCCAGTACACTATGAGCATGACATTGATAAATCAGCCCATTTACAATTCTACTGTGCATAAGAATATGTTAATATTCCCCCCCCCCTCCTTTGGGGATGGCCTAAAGACAACTTCAATCAGTGGCATTGCCCAGAGGTGGCATAAGCTTTAACAACAGAAGAAAAAACACAAGTTCTACCACACAAAATGTCAACGATTTCCCTCCTCACAACAACTCAACATTTAGTTTTGTCTACACATTTTCAGCACTTGCAACTCAAGTATTGTTTGTTTAGTATAAGTAGAGGTTTTAAGGCGCTCGCAACTGCAAAAGGTCATATGAGCGCCAGAAGATTAGTTTAGTTTTAAGAAAATTAGTAGAGGTTTTACGGCGCTCGCAACTGCATAAGGGCATATGAGGGCCAGAAGATTAGAGCTGTTACAAGAGAGTACAAACATAAAAAAGAAGAAGGGGAGATAAGGACGATAGATGTTTGATAGGAAAAAAGAAGAAATTAGTCAATTGAAGGAAGAAACAAGACAAATAGACAGAAACAATGAGCAGGAAGAGATGAAGTAGGACCTTCCAGCGGCACCTTTCACCAACCACTGGCAGTAAACTACTGTACATCATGTAGTTTAAGTGAACGCTCTCGCTACAAGAGTGTTGCTTTTTTATAAATTTGTTCCACAGGAAACCTCATTGGCATAATGTTTTAGTAAAGAGTTTTACGGCACTTGCAACACAATAAGGTCATACAAGTGCCCAAGATTAGAGTTGTTACAAGAGAGCAACAAACATAAAAGAAGACTAGCTGGGCCCCCTTTCGATGAAAGGAATGATCGGTGCATTAACGTCAGCCAAAAGTCATTGGCTTATGATATTTACATTCTACTGGAATGGAGCAATAAATCTTGAGAGATGCAAAATTAGAAGGTTTAGATCTATACTCTCAAAACAGTGCGCACGGTTAGTGAACGGAAACCCCCTTTTCTAAAATTATAGAGACAGAAGCGTCGGCATAAAAAAAAGCGATCGATGAAATAAAGAAATTTAGCTTTTTGCAGCAAAACTGTCTCAAAACTAAAAAAACTAAGGGCGTCATGATCTGGAGAACATTTTAAAGAATTTTTTTGCGAAAACCGCATGTCGATCTATGCAGCCATTAAAAAGCCTTTTTAATAGCAAAATTAGTCCACCACAAATAGATAATACAAGAAGAGATATAAATGATAGAAGATGCTCAGACAGGAAAGAACGAGCAAACCACGGATAACAACCCGCCAACCATGCACAGGCAAAGTTTGACAAAAAAACGAAAAACTACCCAGTCAAACAGAAAAAAAAATTGAACAAGATGAGGGGTTAGTGTATATTATTTTGTTTTTAGTTTTGTTTTAGTAGAGGTTTTACGGCGCTCGCAACTGTATAAGATCATATGAGCACCAAGGGGTGGATGTCAACAGAGAAGAGTCTTTACAGGAAATCAGGCTTACTCTGCTCACCTCTCTAGCTTCAAAAGCACAAAGTCAGCTTCAACTATCAAGGCACCCCGGAAATAGCGGGTCACAAGAGTGTGACAAACATACAAAAGAAGAAGAGGAAAAATGACGATAGTAAGGATTAGGAAAGAAAAAGCAGAAGTTCCCTATTGCAGTTCAGGCACAGTTATGAGCATGACATTGATGAATCAGCCCATTTACAATTCTACTGTGCATAAGAACATGGTTAATATCCCCCCCTTTGGGAATGGCCAAAAGACACTTCAATCAGTAGTACCGCCCCAGGGGGGGTGGAGGGGTAGATGAGAAGTTAGAGTATATTTTTTGTTTGCTCAAGTACAGAGAAGCAAACTGACAGAACAACCTCCATTTAGTGACGGGGAAAAAAAACAAACAAAAAAAAAAAACGAGAGAGGGACAGACAGAAACAACAGATGGAAAGAACAGAAGTAGGACAGCCAGTCAGCAGCACCCACCCTCCAACCACCCACGAGGCACGAGGAACTCACCTTTGTCTGGAAAGCAAAAATGGTCAGGGCCAGAGTCACCACCTGCGGGGAGGAAAAAAAAAAGATAAAATTGCAAACATTTTTTTTTTGGTTTGAGTATGCGTTTTACGGCACTTGCAACACAATTAGGTCATATTATAAGTGCAGAAAATGATCGAAAAGGATGCTCAGGACAGGCTTCGCTGGAGTAATGCTGTTGATGGCCTGTGCTCCACTGGGAGTTAAATAGGGCAAGAGAGATAAGTGCAGAGAATTAGAGGTGTTACAAGAGAGTAGTAACAAACCTGAAAAAAAAAGGAGGAGAGATATAAAAAAGATAGATTTTTCATAGACAAGAAGAAGCAAAAACCACACCAGGACACACGCCAACCACACACAAAACAAATGCACATTTATGAGCGTGCTCACAATATGAATTACTTCTCATCATCTATGAAAGAAAGATATAACAGGGATCAAATGTGTAACTTGCCAGACCCACAGGGCTAAAAGAGCAGACAGAAAAAGCCATAAGTCATCCTTAGAGCAGACAGAAAAAGCCATAAGTCATCCTTAGAGCAGACAGAAAAAGCCATAAGTCATCCTTAGAGCAGACAGAAAA